ATTCTTCATCTTTTTCAAATTGTATGATCAAGAATGGATATCTTGTTTGGCCTTGTTTTATTGGAGGATCCATGCTAACCTACAATGCAGAAAAACAACTATTTTAGAGTAATCCATCAACAGCAAATTTCAAAGTGATGAATGTTATTCAATTTTCAGGCTATCTTATTCTACTTGGAGCCTCTCTCTTGATACTTTACTTTTGAGCTTCATTTTTAAAGTTGTTAACTTCATGATAGCCAGTTTCAGGTATTCAGAAAGTAAAACGGAGTGAAGTAGTAAATGACGCAAGAATGGCAACAGGGCAAAAACCAGGGGAATCTGGGTTGGATCATGCACAGAACCTTCATCAGGTGACTCAACCCAACCCTTCCTTGTCTTTTCACACCTCTGCTACAATCATGCCGTGCACTATCGCGCATCACTTTGTTAACTTAATGCTCTTTGCCCACATCTATGAGTTAGGCCACCGTAATAATCCTATCACACTCTATAACCTTTCTCTTGTACCTGACTTCAAGATTATTCCAGTCTCAAGTGCTACATTTAGTACAAACGTTTTAATTAACATTATTTTTTCCCAGTATACAAGTGAACTACAACACAATATGTTACTTGATTTTGCTTGACACTGAACCTTCTTTCCAAAATGAATTATTGAGGAAATTCCTTATAGAGACAAACATGACAAAATGTTCCAATAAGCTGCAATGGCCCTGCAGTTTATCTACTCATATAATAAAACTTACCACAAAGAACATAAATCTTTGGTCTTTGTGAGGTAAAAGGAAAAGACGCAACACTGATGTGTAAGGAATCTTGTAGTCATAAGTTTTGCCATGAAGTTGAAGAAATGAAGGGAACACTTTCATGGTGTACCGGCCCCTTAAAACAAAAAGGAACAAAAGAAAATTTTAACATACAACAGCAGCTTCTACTCCCTAATCTTATAAAACAGACAAAAAAAGAAAAGCTCTCAGTTAAGAGTCAGAGGTAATCAAGAATTGTAATGGTTTTGCTTCACTTCACTGTAACTGATCTGTGAAATTTGTGCCCCTCTCTCACCCAATCAGATATAAAGCTAAATCTATTCCACATGGTCCTTTACATTTTCTTGCTTTAAGCAGTTTGCTTGTTTTTACAAAGAGTCCTTACTGATTTCTGCTGATATTTTCTTTTGCTCTGAGTGATCATAGCAATTGCTTCCTGCAGCATTAAGACTTAAAACACTCAAACACAATGCACCAGGCCAAGGGATTCATTTTCAAGTAGAATTACCTTGGGGTCAAACAGGCGATATCAGGTATTGTAACAATAGCATCTCCTATTGCTTGAATAATGTCCGCTTTCTCGAGAACTTTTTGATGAAAACTCTACAAACAATAAAAATAGAAACAAAAACAAAACAAACAAAATATAATAGTAGCAACTGAAACGATTTATTGCGATAATCAGGATTATTAAACGTAGTGATTTTCCAGTAGAAATCTCATTGTTCTTTCAGTCTCTGGGTGTTTAAGCCACTGACTGTATATTCCAGTTTTTCTACTCACTTTAACAATAAGACTACAAACATGTACATACTTCTACACTTTGTGAAGCAAAAAGAGAAAAATTAATTAAAGCTTATCTAACTCTTCACAAACTAACATTAGTATCTATATTCCCCATACTGTTCTCTCTACCTTTCTTTGGTGCTGGTTGGGAGAATTTGTTCAACAGTCAAAGCTTCTTCAATTGGCAACTATTTCCTTAATTCTAGTGACTTCAATGTTTGATTCAGAGGTGATGTTTTAAGGAAGAATAGATCCCAGTCACTCTTTGGAGTTTAAGGGATAAGTTTCCACAACATAAACAGATTTGCACAAATTACCTCTTTAATATCAATTTAAAAAGTAAGATGCCTACAATTGGCAACAAAATTGTTGACACATTGGCCTTCTCCACTCTTTTGCCCTTGTTACGTTAACCTATTTGCCCCATCCCCCCTCTCCTTAAAAAAAATGCTGTATTGTGATTCCATGACCTTTTAGCTACATACAGGCACTATTGAATGGGGGAGGGGGGTATTGTCAATGACTAAGAGTGTGTTAGACACAGGAGTGTTAATCTACACATAAATAGGACTGTTCAAAGATGATCTGTCAACTAATTTGGATGATGATTGTAGCTTGGCACAGATTTCACGTTGTCATTCTATGGACATGACATGTTAAACTTGCTTCCCCTTATAATCAAAATGTGGATTTTAGAAATGAAGAACATACTTTGACCGGGTCTTCTGTTGGATTATCTGCAGGTGTAGGGATATAAAATCTCATTTCCATTAGGCAGATCTGTGCATCATCATTTTGATGAAACTCAAGTGCCACTTCATTTTTTCCTGTTTGTGAATAAAATAACACTGCATAAGACTGTTCATGTTTTATTCAGGAAATCCTCACACATAGAGAGCATGCAATCTGAAATTAGCCAGGTGAAAAAGCAGTAATCAGCAGCAGGATATTTAGCAGGTAATTGCTGCATTTCATCTGGCAAATATCCCCAGCAGCAGCAGGCTCTTGGCTGCAACTCTGATTTCCACAAAGTTCTGTATCATTTTGGACAGGCCTTGTAATGAAGTGTCTACAACCTGGGAATTCACTGTTTTAGAATTTAGTGCTCTTCTATACTTCAGATTGAAAGGATAGTAATTCCAAATTAATTTTTTCCACTCTGAAAAAATATGATGTAACAAAGATGAAAGGAAAAACCTCACCTGTTGTTGCTTGCGACACATCCTTGAGAGGGACTATAAATGCTGGCTTTTCATCAACTTCAAAACAGAGAGAGGAGCCTGAAACATTTCACAAAATCCTTTGTTACAGCAATACAAATAAACCAGATCAATGTCGGTCTCACAATCAAAAGCAGAAAAATTATGCAATGTTTGTGAAAACAGGTAGCACCAACAACAACAAACAGACACAGACTACAGATGACTAAGAACACATTACATGGACAGACACCTCTAACCTTTGAATTTAGCAGTGCCCCAGTTCCAGCCCTTGACAGATAATTCTATTTCTTCCAGATCCTTTCCAAAATTTTCCTTAATGAATGTTGCTAGTTGGTCATAGTCCTAAAAAGAGAAAACACAAGAGAAAAATTAGTTTCACCCTAGTTAATTTAAACCAAGAGAATTGAATGTTTGGATGCCACTTCAAAAATATTTTTTTGATGTCATATGGCAAGTAAAAAAAATTTCAATGAAATGTCCCATGTACTTAGAATAGAATTTAAATCTAGTTTAAAAAGACAACATCTCATTCTTGTGTGAGAATACAAAAAACTATTTACAATAAGAGCAAAAAATGCAGCATCACCCTGCACTTGAGTTAAGAATATTGAAATGTGTTTTGTTATATTAAGCTCAGATTTAAAAAAAATGCGGTAAAGGGAGACTTTCCCCTTCACTGCATCCTAGCCATACCACAAAGGTTTTAAATATTTGTTTTGACAGAAAGAAATCCAAGTAATTAATAACATTGCTGTGGTGATACCAACTGTTAGCTTTCAAGTAGTTTCCAATGGAGACAAAGACTTACTGCCTCTTTGAAACCTTCAAACTTGAACTGCATTCCATTTGTTAGAGCAACATTCAGTTCAAAACCACGAGCTACTCTCAACCAACTAGTTGATTCAATATCAGCCACTGCTGCTTGGTCAATTTTTCCAGTTTTGTTTGCTTTGAATATTATTCCACCTTTGTGTAACTTCAACCGTCCATCATTCTGTGAACAAGGCAGAAATGTGATATTTTTAAGGGCATTAGCCCCTTTAAACCTTCTGTGGTTGAAATAAATCTTCAAGTTATCCACCCAAAAAGTCAAGAATTGACCTCTATGATGCAAAAAAAAAAAAACACCAATTTTTGACAAAGTGGCTTCATCATTTGAACAAGGTTAGAATCGAAAAGGATTGTTGCTAGAGGGAAAGAATACCATGATATGGATAGAATATGGATTGCCTAAACGTGGAAGCCATAAACTTGGAATAAATCGCTCAAAAGAGTTCTTTGAGTCAAATAATGCAGTAAGTAGATTGAGCTCAACAGTAACAGTAGATTGTCCCATTTGCTGAATAATGTTATCTTGATATGACACCACATTCCCTTCACTCGCAATAAAGCTATGGCATGGAGGGAGAAATTCTAATCAAATATTGAATGTAAGAGACTTAAAGTAGCCTATTAGCCCTTGTAATACAGAGATTGGTACCGGCGGAACCCAGCTGGTTTAAGTCGTTGTCTCGTAGCGTCTTGTTTATGTGCAATCATGGACGCCTTTAGGGGCTGGCTCTTCAAATTTCTGAGACCAGGAACCAAGTGAATATTAGAAGAGCGCAGCACAGAAGTGTACTAGCTGGAGCTGCAGCCGTCAGTGAAGCTTACAAGTTGCTTCCGGTTGCAAAATCACCCCAGTACAACGATTAGGAATCCTTTAAAAGGCGTAAGAAATATATCTCGTATAACATCATGTAGATGATAAGGATATTTGTAAAAAAAATCTCGTGAGTATATTTAGCTTTGAAATTAGAAGCCATGCACTGATCGTTCTTTCTACGAGCTACACGTGATATGGAGCTTCTGCCACTCACACTTACCAATGCACCTCTTACAAGAAGGTAAATATCACTGAACTCCAAACCATCAGTGGCCATTTCAAATTCCTATAGGCAGGTTAAAAATCAACAATCAATAATGCAAAAGAACATGGAGTTATTGTTTTGAGAAAAAGGAGATTTTACCCCTTATTTGTTCCCGCGCGTTTCCAAAATGGCGGACAAGCTGGCAGAGTGAGAACTGAACCTACTTTGTGATTGGCTTTCAGTATGTCTCGTTCCCGCGATAATTTTTCGTCGTGTTACGGGATCACGTGGGACAGAGGGACGTAAGTTTAAACAGGAAAATTGCTGAGAAATTATTCATATGTGATTCTAGCTTGCAAAAAAAAAAAAAGGTTCGTTTTTAAGGGGAGCAAAGCTGAAAGAGTGTCCTCAAAAGTTTGATAAAAGTTTTTTAGATTTGCTAATGATTTCCACTGATGCCAAAATTATCTAGGCAGACTCAAAAGTACCAGTGGGATACTGATCAGACAGAAAAATGATGGATGAGGGCATTGATTATAACAAATTTATTATACACAATTAAATGCAGCGTGAATTTCATTTTTGAGCATAGGAGGAAGTCTCAAGTTTTTTTGTTTTGATTGATCTTCCGAACTCTGATTACTGTTTTTATTTTTCTTTTGGTGCTTTAAAAGCTTTCTTTTTTCTTCTGCATCAGCAATTCTGCATAATTATCTAAAATTTCTAAAAATTTCCAAATTAAGCTTTTGAAATCCACAACATTTTGTTGACATTATGCAACTTTTTTGCAAGAGAAACCCCTACCCACAGTTGGAAAGTATGTCAGAAAAAAGCCAGTCTTGTCAATGAGGTAAGGAAAAATGATTCAATTTTATTTTTAATTGCTGAATTCAGTGACTGTGAATTTATGAAAATCATACATGTGAACTGCAGATAAAGTCGTGAATATGAAAGCAATCTTCCCAGTAATGAACACTTCTTAAGCAGTAGTGAAAATAACGCCAGAAAAACTTCAGGCTTGTACAAAATTTGAACCCATGACCTCTACGATACCTGTGCAGTGCTCTACCAACTGAGCAACCAGCTCCCAGTTGACTTGTTAGCTCAGTTGGTAGAGCACTGAACCGGTATCCTAGAGGAATAGGTTCAAATTCCATACATGCCTGAATTTTCTCCACTGCTGTTCAAGTAGGGTTCATTACTGTGGAGATTGCTTTCATAATAACATCACCGGTCAAAGTTGCCTTCACAGTTCTTCATGTTTAGCTTCCTGAGGCCACCACTCTAAAAGCTCACTGACAGCATCCCAGTTGATAACATTCCAAAATATCTGTACATATGCTGCCCTGCGATTCTGATGCTTCAGATAATAAGCATGTTCCCAAACATCAATGACCAGGATAGGCATTAAGCCTTTCTCATTCAACGGACTATCTTGATTTTTTGTTCCGCTGATTTTGAGCCTGGTCTCTTCAACATCAAGGCACAACCATGCATACCCTGATCCAAACAGGTTCAAGGCAGCCTTCTCAAACACTGATTGAAAGTTAGAGTAACTTCCAAAGGATTCATCTATCATCTGGGCTACCTTGCCGGATGGCTTTCGCTCTTCATTGTTAGGATTTGGAGACATGATTGCCCAGTAAAGAGCATGGTTCACATACCTGCCAAGAGGAAAAAACAAAGTCTGCTTTTGAGCTTAGTAGCTAATTAATAAATCAGCAGTGGTTTTGTGTTGTCTGTTCTCTTATCAACAACAATACTTAACTACTACTGCTTGTGAGTTTGCAAAAAATTTTGACCTCTGTGATGACTAATATGGTTGTTGATTAGAACACAGACCACCCTAAACCACAGTTGATTTGTTTTTTACCACAATAATGACATTTCTACTTTCCCTGGATGAGATATTAGACTTTTCCAAGTTACTCCCCCCTTGGCATTTTGTCAGGCTTCCTTGACAACTTACACATACCCATTTATACTCCTGAGTGGAGAGAGTGAAGAAAAATGATCCCACCAGCTCTGGAACTTTGAATTCTTGATCTGAAGTCCAGTGCACTAACCACTGACCAGAAATTATAATGATGATTAAATAAAACTATTTTAAATTCTTCAGAGAGGCAAATTTTGTTATATTCATGAGAGAGCTATTTATCAGAGAAGAAGAATTTATATTTCCGAAACAGTAAGGATCAGTAAATGACAACCAATGGTAACCAGTGAAGATGGCACAGGAAAGCTTTTGGCTTGTTTGAGAAAACCAAAAATAGGCTAAAACCTGGTTGTTTCAAACTACAAAAGTGGATGACCAATAAGAAGGCGAGAAACACAAATGAAACTGTATTTGGACAGGAGCCCATTACCCAGAGCCTCCATACTAATTGTACCCTTGAGTCAACACTGTCCTGTATCTTTTTATTTTTAGAACTGAGATATGTAGGGGGTTCTATAATTTCCTGCAAAAACATGCTGACGTTCACATAACACCCTAAAAAAATTGACGGTCAAAGGCAAAGGGTGATCTCTATTCCCTCTCTTCAGTAGAGGACCACAGCTCTCTTATGATTGGCTATTATATTAACACCTGCAAAAAAAACCCATGAGAGGTGCTTCTATGAATAAAAAGATACGGGACAGGGTTGACTCAGAGGGTAATTATGGAAGACGGAAGCTCCAGGTAGTAAGCTCCTGATTTGGACCAATAAGAATAACACATGAGGTAGAATCTCTCAATTTGTAGATTTACATAAACTCTCTTGCACAAGAATTGTAAAATAGTTCTATGTGAAGATACAGTTAAAACTTAACTCACCCTCCACCATTATTCCTTACTGCCAGCTGCCACTGATCAGGTACAAGATCAAGATTATTCAGAATAGTCACAATGGGTTTTGAAGACAACTGCGAAATGTTTCCCTGAAAGATATTTGAGGAACAAATCAATACAGCAATACCTTGGAAAATTTTAATGATTCCTGCTTTTAAAATTTA